AAATTACACACATTAACATGCAAATGACAAGGGAATTTTGTCTGCAAATCCCTGTACACAGCGAAAGTCGATATAACGGACCATCGATATAACGGACCGTCAATAAAACGGACTTTTTCTCTGGAGCGGAATTTGTTTACCAAATAATATCTGATATGAAACTCCCAAGTCGATATTACGGATTAAAACGCTGGTCCCGAACAGTCCGTTATATCGACTTTCACTGTGTATAATAGTAAAAGTTTTTAGAAGCACACTATTCTGCTTTTATATTACAGTCGAACCTCGTTATAATGAATTTAATAGTAAAATCTCGTTATACCGAAAGTTTGATGTAGGATTTTTACATAGTAATAGGCTACTACCGAAGTTTTATCACGTGATAAAATGCAGAATAGTGATTGGTTGTAGCAGATGAGGATCATACGATTTTTGGTCATACGATTTCAGTTACAGTATTAAGATTTTCAATAGTATGATGATTTTAGCTGTCATATTTGTGTTTGATCGTATGATTTCAGCCGTATTTCGTATCTACTGTTTTTTGTGTATTATTGAAGTAAAGATATTATTCACAGACTTTTATTGCTTTGGCAGTAAATAGCTGACAATCAGTTATAATAGGCCACAGATTTAGAACAATAACAACTTTTTTGTATGCCACTATTTATGATACAACAAATTGTCGCAGGTTTAGTCCTACTTTTCTCATGTCATGTAAGCATTCGTTTCACCAGTAAATAGTCAATGAATATTTTAACCAATTACATACCTATTTTATTAAACCAAAACCATTAGAAAACGTTCAATAGCCAATTAGGCATTCTCGTGCATCCGATAATGTTTTAACGAGCATGAGTTATTATCACATCCGACTAGTGGAGTGTTATTATCTCAAAAAGTATTGCAGTTGAATTACACATCAGTGTAATATTTATTCGACTCTTGCTATGTACGTTATTCTAAATTATTTAAAGCCACAACTATAGTTTTCGTTCCTTGTATCAAACTTATCGTACCCAGTCGATATTATTTACTAGTGCAGTAATTGAGCCGGTAAGCTCCGATTGGCTTAACAACTAAGGACTTGACTGATAGATAAACTACTAGATTGGTATATTGTTTCAAATGAGGATACGTTTTGTGCAAGGATCTATTGCATATGAATATTACAAGGTGAAGTCTTAACGGACTGACTACAGAGCGGGCGGTTCCTATTACAGTACCGTTTAATATGTAACCGCAACAAGCTCAACAATTGTTCGTTGCAAAGCTAAAATATCAAATAACCGAGGCTGGCTAATTATTTGCCTATAGACATGTTAGCATTACTGAAAGTTCTAGATAAAAACAAATCATTGGTGAAGATTCTTATAATTAATTAGTAAAACCATACGATAAAAACTTTGCGTATTAGCAACTGAATAGAGCATTTGCAATGTTACATAATACTGAATTTGTACCCATTTCTTCCATTAAAACTCTAATATGGCTTCTCAAAAAAATAAAGGCTGAATGTTTTTCAATGTGGACAGTTATTGGTGTCTACAGTGGATACAAGTTTAGGAAAACCATCAAACGTTTGAAGACGAGACATGTAAGTCTTCTAAACCATATTAGAAACGATTCTTGTTATTAAAATTATGTTTACTTTGCGTTTTAAATAACCAACTTAACGTAAGACTATTTAAAAATTCTTAAGTTGTATGGCTGCTAGAAAGGTTTATCGGAATAAAATTGCGGATTAATCGTTTATTCATATCGGAACATGGTAAAATAATAATTTGGATTGATTCAATAATTGGCTCGGGAATTCTAGTAAAGCTATCTTATCTTGTGTCTGCGTTTTTAAATAAAGCTTGTAACACTACTCTACTCAATATGTGGTCTGTTCTTTTATTGCTAAGTATTTATTCATAAATTCTCGTTTAAACAGTCGGATGCTTTTTCCGTAATTGGTACATGTCTGTGATGACGAACACGTTGATCTATATTCCAAGTCGAAGGAGCGTACTATTCCCTGTATGTACCGTCGACATCCAGTATATATCTTACCTGTCGCTCTTGTGAAACCAGTTGATTATTTTGCGATGTCACAGGCTTTCGAAAACAAATTGACATATCGGGTTTATACTATGGAACTCGGAATGCGTGTGGTTCTCTTGCATTTCAACGTTGCTTTGTTTGATGGCAATGGGTCATAATGCTTTTGATATATTAATTCACAGTTGCAAGAAGGGATATTGTTGGTCATAATTGATAAATGTCATTGTCAGCCGTTCAAAAAGTCGATGTAGCGAAATAACTTTCTGATAAAGACTGCTATGGGGTTAATTAGTTGCATGGCTTTTGCCCAAAGCGGCGCAATATAATCACGATAGGTCACACGTACTAAATTATATATAAATATATGTATAAATGTGTGAGGTGGTTTTGTGTGTGTATAACATGCATCACCTACAATAGCTTTGTAATAGTACCAAATTTTAAATTATGTCTCTTTCGGACAATAAACCAATCGTATTCTATATAGATTTGTTGGTAACTTGCACAAAAAAAAAGTTCAAAACTTTCGGTTTGTTTTTTCCCCTCTTTCACGTTGCGTTCAAACCTTTGTTTGTTATTATGGTTATAGCTAAACCTTATTGTTTAGACATATTTGTTTCAACAAATGCCAATCGTTTGATTATAATAAAGATTTTTATTACCAGCAGTCAATACTAAGCCGTGTCGTTTGAGACACTCTCATATATCAGTACTAGGTGACATGATGGAGTCAGGAACAATACTTCCGGGCCGCATAGTAAGCCATACGATTAGCTTGCATTGCAGATTGCAGATCGATAGCAAATCGTTTTTGATGATCAAATAAACGGAGTGGTTATTGCATCTGAAACGCCAAGTCATCAAATATGTTCACGTAATTTATCAGAGTATGTTTTTCTTTTCACCAAATCGAATACGAACATATAAAATAATATATATATTTCCTCATCTACGATTATATGGCTGCTTACAAAATGTTGTATGGGTCTTGACATTTATATTTTGAAACAATGTTTCGGCGACGATACATTTGGCAGTGATCGTAACAGTAAGCCATCAATTAGTTTTTCCCATGCATGTCCTTGTTTGACGTACACATATGACTACCAAATTAAATATTCATCCGTTGAAACTTAAAGAAACTTACTTGTATACAAAATAAGATTATATTACACCCTGAACCTTTCCATTGAATAAAGATGTAGCGGTCTAATTTCCGTCATGTATCAAAATTAATATTGTCTATTGTCACATCATTACTAAAGCCAACCAAGTTTGAATTACCTGACCGGCATGAGAACGTCACACTTTTATTCGCTAATCAGTGCGTAACCAATTGTGCGTAATATTATATCATCACGCAGTTTCATAGTAATGCAAGAGCAAAATCAGGAAATCAATTCAAGTGGGTCATTACTAAAAAGGTAAGGTGCATCTTTCTTCCCAACGGTTATGCTGACTGTATCACACAAGGCAAAAGACTACGCAATCTCTTTAATAACACTTTAGACTTGCAGCTCACATAATAATAAGAACCGAAAGCGTCTCCACAAACGTTGTGCTTATTCATGCAGTAAGATTTAGCCTATAACTCTGCTTAGCACCAAGCGTTATTAATGCCATGCTATTAGGCAAGATGGCAATTAATGAGACTTTTTCAATTAGCATCTCTGACACCAGAAAGATACTTGTACAATACAGGCAGCCAGGCATCACAAGCCCCAGCCACTGACAAGATAGGAAACCTTGGCACTGCAGTGTCTCAAATCTTATCTAAGGAATATATGTGAATTACGTCACGAGGTTGATTTATAGGTAGACTATTGTGAATGACGAGTGGGAAAGACTATTATGGCGTGCAATATAACGTCCGATTGTCGAGATATAGCTAGAAGGACCAATGGTTTAACAAAAAAGCTTACGTAACTGCGGAAGGCACAGACCGGCACTCAAGGGGCTTGATATGAAGGGAACTGACGTCCATTATTCTGGTCAAATTTATGTTGCTTATTTGTTTGTATTACCGTCATCATTAATTTTAGCGGTTGTGATCTGTGCCACAAACAATATTTTACTTGATTGAGTTCAAATGTCTAGCAAAACAATGTAGCAAAAACGAGTTTAAAGCATTTCACCGGTAAACAGAAACTGACGAGTTAGATATGACCAATAACAATAGTTAACTCAGCTGCGTAATTATTAATTCCGTCATGACATTGGTATTAGTATCAGTGTCTACCGTTAATATTAATATTAACATTATTTATAACGTTCAAACCACGACAATAATGGCAATTATTATGATATAATAATACGTATTCTTATTAACATTATCATTGTTATCATTGCCTACCATTGTTATTCTGTATTTTATCCAATTATTAATGCAAGTCGGCAATTATTAACTCCGCAAACATCACATTTAGTCACCCGCCGATGACCCTAGCTTATCTACCTACCAGGTACAACCTATCACTTTCTAGACAAATCTTCAACAACTTGACAACAACTCAACTCCACTCTTTAACTGTTCGCTCCAAGAAGATAAGCGCTTTGCTGACCTTTATTCCTGGAGACGTTTCCCTTTCTTTTACGCCTTTCATTATCAGTTATAGTCTATCATTGACGATAGTTTGTTACTGTGTTGGTCAGTTATATATATATATATAATATATATTAAGATAGAGTATAGAAAAATATTAAAAGTGTTCACGGAAACTACTAACGATATACCCAAGAATCGGTGTCGCAGGTAATAAAAACAAACTAAAAGAGCCCTTATGCCTCCAATTTGGCTAGAGAGCCCAGAATAGCCGTTGTAAACTCTCAAAATATCAGCCAACACCTCGTGATTCCACCTTTAATTCACTTACTCGCCTCTCTTGTGTCTGACTTGACTTGTACCTCCTTTATGTCTATTAATTTATTTTTACCATCTACCTCTCAAAATCTAGATGCCGCACTACATTCACTCTAATCGCAACTCTCGATTTCCTCATGACGGCATCGTAATAGCCCAAGAGCAGGCCTCTTATATGAACCTCTCTTCAATCAAAGACAAGGTCTTGATTATACCAGGAACTCAATTGCAACTGTTTAATTCTTTCGAGACGACGGGACTTGGTAATGATTATAATGAGAATAGTGGAGATAAAAAAAGATGGGCAGTTACATGGCAATAATGATAATGTCTGTACAAATGGGAACAATTTAATAGAACTTCCAATTACATTGCCTGTAATTGCTGAAGATCAATTGTCAATTGACATTCTAAATGTGTTTGAGGTAGGTAATTATGAACAATACGGGATCAATGTGGTATTTAAGAGAGATTTCAGAGGAATGGTTGGAGATGAAATGTGATTAGAAAGAGGGAAGAGAGGAATATACTAGCAATTCGTTCAGCTAAAGAGCAAAACAAAGTTTTGGTTTTACGTCAATTCTTTCCGTTTCTCAATTGCAATTCGCCTCATCATAAAGTCTAATATTCGCCTTCATTTCCGCAGTCGCTGCTTCCAACAGAAGAGAGTCACAAACGAAGATTAGAATTTGTCGACAAGATAAGACGGATGTTAAAAGAAGAGTCGCAAGGGCATGATATTGAAGTACATTTGTTTGGGTAGGGAAAAAAAAGGGGGGATTATTAATGGAGGTGGATAGAGCGATGGCACATCGTAAAAGTTTTTTTTGAGAGAGGGAGAGCATGGCTGGCTTCGCAATGTGGCGCAATTTAGATAATGCGTATTAGATGTTATACGATATTCCCATAGCTATCACGTAGGACATATCATGGATTATTTTGTACTTGTAGCCTTTTTTGTTTCGGCTTCTATTCAATTCGTCTTTTCCTTTACTTTGCTTTCCGATTTTCCCTCCCTCACACCTTTTCCTTCGCCTTTTCCTAGATCGTCAGTAAATGACCTTGGCACGCTATCGTCAGACGTAGATTTATGCATCACTACCACTTCTCCAGAATTGAAGAGCGTGCAAAATTTAGCAAAAATATTGAAAAAACGTAAGTGGAGAAAAGGTTCGATAAAATGGGAATTAGTGTGTAAGCGGAGCCAAACGCACATAGTATTTTTTTCCACTACATCTGCCTCATTTTCTCATTGATAATTTGCGTAAATTGCACAAGTCGCCATGGATGATTGGTGTTGTTAAAACGTTATCTGTTAAAACGTATGTCTCTTTTACTTTTTTGTGACAGATAACATCCAAGAAGTAGTCACAGTTCCAAAGGCAAAAGTTCCAATAGTCCGATTATGGGATTCAGAGACGTATGTATATAACTACAATCTTTTGTCTAACTAGTCATCTTTATACGAACCATCCCGCTTTACTTAATTTCTTGCTCTACTACTAGGGGACTAGCCTGCGATATGAACATAAATAACACACTCGCAATACACAACACTCGCCTAATCAAAACATACGTTTCCATCGACCATCGTGTACGTCCACTTACCATGATAGTCAAGCATTGGGCAGCTAAGCGTGTACTAAATGACGCTGCAAAAGGTGGCACTTTGTCCACATATACATGGACGTGTATGGTCCTTAACTTTCTCCAGATGCGTGAGCCTCCTATTTTGCCCGTTCTTCACCAAATGTCACCCAAAGGAGAGCCGATAATGGTCAATGGAGAAGATGCTGCGTTTTGTGAGGACATTGAGAGCTTTAAGAATTTCGGGGCTTCTAACCGGGAGTCTCTTGGAGGATTATTGTTTGCATTTTTCAGGCGGTTTGGGTATGAGTTCGATTATCAACATCATGTAATATCTGTGCGTCATGGAAAATACCTCACAAAGGAATCCAAGGGTTGGAATTTGGGCCCTGATTGGCGATTACTCTGTGTTGAAGAGCCGTTCAACACTTCGCGTAACCTAGGTAATAGTGCGGACATTGTGTGTGTACAAGGATTAATAAAAGAGTTCCGTCGCGCTTGTAGTAAGTTATATGAGGATGTGAGCCTGGAGCTGTGTTGTAAACAGTATATTACCCCAAAGGGATATAATGGAGAGTATGGATGGTATCCGGGGGGAGGTAGAGGAAAGTGGAACAGTGGCGCGAGTGGTGGCATGAAGAAAGGACAACAGCAGCAGAATAATTATTGGAATAAATATAACGGATATCATTATGGTGGATATCAATATGGGCAGCAGAATAGACAGAATGATAACCTAAATACGTATAGGGATGGCTATATGAATAGTTGGAGTTATCATAATACTTGTGATGGCAAGTTCGATGGGGGAGATTTAGAATCAGAAAAAAAACAGTTTGAAGATAGTGTTATCAGTACCGCTACTATTGTCACTCCTGTCGCTAGTGTTACCAGTACTCCGAGTCCTGTATTTCTGCAGAATAACGACGAGACCCGACACTTGGACATGCATTTCGATACACAATCGGATATTCAACTGGATGTTTCTTCTCATCGGACTTCTGAGTTATCAGTAAGTAGGAAAGGAAGTTATCAGAGCATGCAATACGAAAGTGAGATCGAATGTGAGCATGAGGAGATCGTCGATCACATTCAGCAATGCGCGAAAGATGAGGGAAGTTGGAACGGTAAAAGTCAATTCAATGGACAAGATGACGAAGGGTTGGATTTTCAATATTTTGCACCAGACCAAAAAGAAAAGTCTCACGATGAACAGCAAGACATTTTATTTAATAAGCAAACAGATGCGAATGTTAATTATCAGAGTCAAAAAACATCTCAGCCTCATAAGCGTGAACCGAAACAAGATCCAATGCAGATGACCGGAAGGATAACCAGAGTAAACGAACAGCAGAATGGGGATAACATAAACGGGAACTCATATAGTTATCAAGATAGACAGCTTACCCAGAACGACCAGAAAGGTCAGAATAATCAATCAGTCTATCGGCAGAATCAAAAGTACCTCAGCAACAAGAGCATCAACAGTAACAACAAGAACAGCAACAATAACAGCAACAATAACAATGGCAATAACAATAACAATAACAATAACAATAACAGTAACAGGAGCAATAACAATAACAATAGCAACAACAACAACAACAACAACAACAACAACAACAACAACAACAACGGTAACACCAAAAACAAGAACAATAAGAACAACTATAATAACAACAGCTACAGTAACAAGGCTAACAACGGCGGCAACAACGCTAGTAGCAACAGAAGTAATGGCAACAATAATGCAGCCAATAGAAATAGTTTGCATAACAACAACGTTCAAGGTCATCAAAACGCCAATAACCATAATCGATCTGATCAAAGACAACGACAACAGCATTCTAATAAATCGTCTCATCAAAAGCCCACGCAATCAAACGGCCAAAACCGAAGGAATAACCAACAGCATCATAAACAAAACCAGAATAATCAAGGACAACGAAGGTTGAGTTATTCAAACCAACAGGGGAATACTTATACAGAACATAGTAATAAGTATCATATGCAACAACAAAAGGAAGGAATAAGAGGGAACGAGCAGGGAGCATACGTGGTATATAATAACAAGGGATGTGAGAGTAATCAAAGGAATAGCAATAACTTTGATCAGAACAACAATATTCAGGGCAACGTTCATTCCCATTCTCATCCTTCTCAACCTTCTCCGTCTCATCCCCACACACCCTCTCTCAATGAACAAAAACAACATTACAATCATAACATGTTTTCTACAGCCCCATTTCAGACCCAAACACCATCTATTCCTCCAAAGCGTCCTTACATGCCCTTTCACAGCGAGCAAAGAACACCACAAATGAGCACGCCGTCTATACAAATGAATCAGAGGAGTAACGAAACAGACGAGCCATCTACAGGGAGAAGAAAATCAAATGTTGGAGGTGGAGTGAGTGAAAGAATAATGATGGGCCACCAGCAGCACCAGCAGCACCAGCAACAACACCAGCAGCAACAGCAGCAACAACGTCATCACCATCGACAACAACAACAACAACAACAACAACAACAACAACAACAACAACAACAACAGCAGCAGCAACAGCAGCAGCAACAGCAGCAGCAGCAGCAGCAGCAGCAGCAGCAGCAGCAGCAGCAGCAGCAACCTATTGGAATGAAATACGGAGTTGGGAGAGGCGAGAAAAGCACCAATGAAAGCAACGGAAGTGAAGAAAAACAATTACTTGAGCAATTGCGAACAAACGGAAATAATGGTAGCGGTAATAATGGAAGAGGGAATGTGGGGAATCGCAGCAATAATAACAGTAGTGGTAATAATAGCAACAACAATAATAATAACGACTATGGCTATTCTAATAACCATCAGAATACCATTCACAACCATGACAATCCTAGTACACATGTTCACACCAATACCTACACAAACGCATCACCATCTCTTATATCCTCGCAAACGCACCCCTCTTCATCGGCACAGGGCACGAATTATACAAACCATCACAAGCAAATGAGGCCTTCGCTGCATACGATCCAACCTGCAGCTTATCCATCTACACATCATCCTACGCCTCCCATCTACTTTTCTCCACGTTCCAATCCATCCACGACATCTCCATCATCTGCCGCGCCTGCGACATCTACCACGTATGTGAAACCAAGGTATGTGTCACCGTCCATATCGTACACTCAACAAGAAGATATGAACAATAGAAATGGCGATAATGGGCATGGAAACGGAATTACAGGGCCGAATACGAATACGGGTGGAAAAAGGAAAAATGTAGATAATATAGGAAAAAAGGGAAGTGCTGGAGAGAAGAAGAATGGAATCCTAAATAATGGAGGGAAAGCTAGTGAGAAAGAAAGAAATAATAATTTTGAAAACGGCGTATATGGTCAACGTCAATATGGCCAGAACGAAAATGGACGCCAGCAACAGATGGGAAGCAATACTGGTGGAAACAAGAATAAAAAGAAGAACCAATGGTCCCACAATAAGCATAATAACAATCAGAGCAACAACTACTACAATAACGTTACTCAGAACAAGGTTAATGTTGCTAGCAATCATAACAGTTTTGCACATGACAACCACAACGACATCGTTTATATCCCCACGGGTTCTTCTCCAACATTTTCCTGTCTGCAGCCTTCATCCAGCTGCATAAAATACACACGGTATCCTATCAACAATTCCGTCCAGGCCGATGTGAATGCTCCAAATGCTTCTCCTTCGTATGAAGTATCTGGGGTTCGATATAATGGTAATGACAGTCAGGGAATACAAAAAGGTGACATTAATCATGTCAAGAAACAAGATAGAGGGAACAGTCGCGTTACGATGAATCAGCGAGATGTTTATAGTTTCGGGCGACGAGGGAATAATGTTGACAACAGCAATTCTAATTCGGCACAGTCTTTCTGCCAGCAATTCGCACCCGGCCAGCATATGTCCTTGCATGCATCATCTGCACGGAACCCAATAATAGATGATGCCGTTAACACTAGTAATAACGTTTCCTCTGATCACCAATCTGTACACACGGAAGATGTATTTGTAAATCATACCGCTGATAGTTCGCGGATGGCCAGTCTGGCAATTGGAAATGGGCGAAGACATAATAACAATGGCCAAGGAAATGGCGACGGAAATGGAAATAGAAGTGGACGATTAAATGAACATAATAATGGAAACCAGCCTAGAGGTCAGGGGACAGAAGGAAAGAGTAAACGGCGTGCAAAGAAGAATGCACGGAATGGGTCTGCTCAAAAGAATAGCATTAGAAGAGACGAGTCATCCACATCTCAGTCTTCATTACATTCAAATGGAAACTACATATCATATTCTAATAATGCTATCAAAAAATCTGCGCCTTACTACAACAACAATACTGGTAGTAATAATTTCAGTAAGAACATCAGTAAGAATGCAACCAATTCCCCATCTTATGCTCGTTCTCAACCTGCTTCCCTAGTGATGCCAACGAATAACACCCAGCCCTTCACTACATCGTCAGCGTACAATAATATGACATCGAACCAGTTTACATATGTACAGTCTTCTAACTCGACATCCTCCAATGCTGATTTAATGTCTTCGAACACAGTAGAGATGATTGGACAGGCACTAAACCAATCGTATGGACGTGGTGGACGTGGTGCAAGGAATGGTGGCAATAGGCGAGCAACTGAACAGAAGTAGGGAAGTGTAAAACGAATGTAGAAAATAGTAAACTAGATGTGAATATAGACGGTTACGCTGACAAGGCAATAGATTTAATGTTGGTTTCCTAGTTTTATAGTCGTTTGGTTAGATTGATTGTACTTGATATTTCTAGAATACATACGCTGTGCGAGTATTTTTGCTCAGCCGTCAGTCTTTCCTCATAAGCTAAAGCTAAATCTCCCCTTTTCTTTCCGCACAAACCTGTTGTAAATCTTGTTCCTCATATAGAAAAAGAAGGAAATCATCGTTATACACACAAGTCAGTGTAAGCCATCTTGTAATATTTTTTCTCTGTCTTCAGACATAGATTTGTAATTTTTTCTATTCTTATTTCCATTTTCACTTATGCTATACATAACTATATACATATTATATATATCACAGGATGTGTAATCTTCGGGTGTTTATATATATTTTATATATATATTTTTGGTGTTGGGGTGTGTAAATTTCTGTTCAATTTATCCTACATATATGTAAGCACTAATTCTGTAATATTTGGTTTAAAAATAAATTCATAAATGAACACTTTGACAGTGAGCATGATGTCGATGACAGTTGGGTTGATTCCTCTTATATTATTCTCAAATATGGTCGTATTTATTCATGTCAATATCATCGACGTTTCGTAATATTTTAACAGATCTACGAGATTTATCAGCTGCGTTATCACTAGCAGTATTACTATGACCAATACTTTCGTCGTTGTCTTCTCTGACATCCACCCGTTCATCATCAGGAGAGGTTCGTTCTTCATCAATGGATATGCCATTACCCTTACGTTTTACCCGTAGATCCATTTCATACTGGTTGCGAACAGACTTGATAACTGCAATCTACATAAAAAAAGAAGCACAGTTAAATTCAGAGCATAAAGTCCATGTTCACGTCAACCCAATCAGTCAATCATGCTAACCTCAGCGTTCGTTCTTAAATATTCCCTCTCCTCGTCAATGCTCAAATCCTTTTCTGTTATCTCTTCTCCATCATCTCCACCTTCGTCCATCCTATTCACAGACTCCGCCCATGATTGTAGCAATCCCTTGGATGCATCGATGACCTCTTGTTCAGTGTGAGTCTTGGATTGGAGAATAATCAAGATCCAGCCAAGTTCGGGGTCGTTTGTGGAGGCAGCGGTTGGAGAAAGCGGTGGTGTGTTGGTGGTGGTGGTGGTGATGGTGGTGGTGGTGGATGTATTGCCATTTTTATTGTTGTTACTTCCGTTGTCCTTGTAATGTTGAGAAAGTATTGTCTTAGCGTTTTGCACTTTACTAATACGCTTGTTTCTCAATGTCTCACTACGATTATATGCCGGTGGATGTCTCTTCAATAATAAAGTCCTCTCCTTATCCTTTTCGTTCTCTTTCCCTCTTACATCTCTATCTCCTTTCCCGTCACCCTCCTCTACATCCTTTTCTAACAAACTTTTAAAATTCACCAAATCGATCAGATACAAGTACCCTTTCGCAGGCGTTTCATGGGCAAGCACTGCCCATGGTAACTTCAACACCTGTGGATATAACAATTGCTTTAATTCTCTATACCTCGTAGTCATGACCGTCTCTGGCTTGATACCATGCATAGCAGCGACGTAGGACTCGGCCAGTTTGTGATTTTTGGCACGTTCAGCCGAGTTGGGTTTCTCGATTGCTTCGATTGAGAGTAGAATAACTGCAGCAAGTACAGGGATGGGCTGGCGGCCAGTGGTTAGCAAAGATGAGGAAGCAAACGAAAGAATAGCACGTGAGATAACAAGAAGGATTTTCTTGTAATGAGTCATCAGGGGTGATAAGCCTGGTATTGCAGGTATGGACGTCTCGTCATAGAACATTTTTATGTCATCATAAAGATGTGTCAAGTCTGATTCGGTTGTGTAGATCGGAAGGAGTTTCGAAGGTTGAGCTGAAGTTGTGGTAGTCGTCAGCATGGAAGGAGAATCAGATTGTTGTTGTTCTTGAAGCGGTTGAGGTACTTGTAGTGGTGCGACCGGGGTGAACATTAGATCTATTACTCGTTCTAGAATTTTTTCGGTGTCAATCAACTGAATAGTAAATTCAGGAACGTAATTTCGTATGTGTTGGATTGTTGATGAGAGACTTGGAACTGTCGTGCCTGCTACTTCCTACGTGAGTGAGTGGATTTATAAAAAATAGTAGACATTAAACAGTAATTAGTTCAGTTTCAAAGGAAATTACTTTGGTCACTTTAAATCACCATCGTTACGGTTGAAAGAATAGAGACACTAATAAATGACTGTCCTTTCCCAACTTACAGCTATTTCGTTCAATGTAATAGCAATAGCATTCTCTCTAACAGCAAAAACCATTGCTGCTCCAACGAGAACGGTGATTTCTGTACGCCGTTTTAACTGAGTGGTTCTCGTAAGATAGATTTTTAAAATGTATTTCACTCTCTCGGTAAGAGATTGTATGTGAAGAGCTGAACAGAATACTTCCGCTTTCTTGTAATACTAGCGTATAGGAATGGGACAAGAAAAATAGGGGAACGAGAGAGCAAACCAAGACAAAGGTGTTAATAGATAAATGGATAATATGCATGATGACAAACCGTCTGTAATAAAAGTATGATTGCTAGTACCTCGATAAATTTAGATCTAGCTTCCGATCGATATCTTTTAGACAAATAATGGTCCACAGTTGATGCAGTAAACAATCCTTCATCGTCTACGCGATTGAATGTGCTTCCATCACCTAACAAAGATCTATTACAATGTATCGATGATGCATGTATATGACAACCCCACTCTATAATAATAACGAAAGCAAGGCAACACCACCCCCAGTATCATAACCTCTTTTGTTCCCATATTATTTACCAAATACATAGTCGCCCACTCCTGAATTGTAATCGGTTGCTCTATCGAGCGCCTGTGTGCCAAATAAAACGTCGGTCAGCACACCCCCACAGTCCACACATATTTGTTGGAAGTGTTCGAATACAGTACATTTATGACTACAATCAATCGATGTAGTAGACATCCGCTTAATTTCAATGGGAGACGAGCGTTTGCCGGACTGAAGTTGAGAAATGGGGTTAGTAAACGGTAGGGGAAAGCGTTGCGCGCGTCTTGGCAGCTGTTCGAGCCGAGAAAGATTGTGGGATAGAATTTTGATCTGCGGATGATATGATTAGTCCGTTCGGTTTGCGTAACGTAATTTGTAATTGGCTTAATGCATGGACTTGAATATTACAACAAACGCGAATTTCTGTGAAAATTAAACACCTTTCCAGGTGGAAGTGCGGCTGGCAGATGGCAGACGTGGAGAGAGACTGCAAGAGTTAGAGGACAAGCTGTCAAAGGAAGGCCTGACTAAAGAGGAAACGACCTGATAGACGAAGAGAAGAGGAAGAAACGACTTGTCGGCGTTGGGCACGTAGAGTAAGTAGCAAGGCGGTTGAATAATACCAAAAAGCAGTCGAACAAGAATATCCAGCAGCCCAATATAGGGCTTACAAGAATTGGTTCTAAAGAAAGATTAATCAGTAGCTGAAAACGCGGCGGGCTGGCCTGTGATACATTTTTTGGTGTACTAGGCTTATATTGCGAAACGCTTTCCGTAATTTAAAAAGTTCTTTCAGCATTATGATTGAAATAGATAAGATGATCGGACCAGGCACTAGCAAGTTAGGAAGAATAGGTTGCATATAAATGAGAAGCTTGAAGTTATGAAGAATAGTGCACCCATCACCAAGAAAATTATGGAGGGTTGCAGAAGCAGCGTGGTAGCAGATACAGATATAATTAATATACCTCAGATCCGTAGCTAGCATTGATTCATTAACCCTAAATCATACGAGTCACGAAAGTACTGACCTCTAGTATTGTCAACTGTCTATTATTGGTAATACTAATCGATAAGCTGTAAAAACATGCCTCAAACCGCCTAATCTTAATTGTTGTCTTGGTGTAAAGTAAATTAAAAACAAGTATTCAACATTTTAATTTACATATACTACATCACTTGTCACAGATGCATTCTTTTGTTGTAAAATATGGTTTATTGAAATTGTAAGAATTAGATAAAATGTTTATCTTAATAAACTAATTGATAATAACATAGTAAAAATGTCTTAAAAGTAATGTCTGGAAATAATACTAAATCGAGTTTGTTGAATCGTCGATGCGAACCACGAGTTTCGTAGCATGGAGGGAGAAGTATTCGAGGAGCTCGTACGCGAGCTGACATGATCGGTCTCGATGGGTAATCACAATCTCTCCGACAAGACCCTTGCTCGATCGTTCCAATACGGTTTGCAAACCCTTTTATTTGAAGTTTCGTAGGTTGCGAAGCTGACGAGTTATTCGTAGTTTGCAAAGCTGACGAGTTATTCGTAGTTTGCAAAGCTGAGGACATCCTTTTGTGTGAACCCTTTTTTGGTGGTGGTTTTGGCGGCGGCGGCGGCGGCGGTGGTGTTAGCATTGAGGGAGAGATTATGTGTTTACAATTTGGATTTTCAAATGAGCAAAATATTGCAATGATTAAAAGAGCTTGGGGAATAATGTCTTTAAATATGTTTATGGTTGTCGGTATTTGAATGGCGGAACCGAAAACACGCATGAAACATGCAATCTTATATGGAGCCTACGCGCATGAAACATGCGAACACATGGATCGCGGTCACAAACCAAGTTCATGGGTAGACACTTGCAATTCCATGCAATTCGAATTTTTTTGATACGTCCCGTTGTCTTTGTAAATATATTAGAGGGATTAAACAAAATTGATTATTTTACATGACTGCATTAATTCCGATTATAACATCGTAAAATTCATCCTAATTTTCTATTAATTAAAATTATTACGATAATAAAACAGCCATCTCCACAGAAATCAAAATGCCTTCGCGTTTTGGAATCACGTGCGCATGACAATTATCACCTGTCAAAATAAGTTCTGCCTCTGGTATGAGCGCTATATTACTCTATATGTACATATGCAAAATTGGCGTATAATCATTCATTCCCCCAATACAGATACGTACGTATATGCACACTGGTTAAAAATCAGTACCTGTAGTTGTTAAAGTATGGTTGTATTTTTTCGAGATACCCGGGATACGTCCATTCGGTTGACTCGAAGTATTGTTGGGCTGTAAAAATGACCACGTCAAGTCAAAACAAAAAATTTAAGTGATTGACATACCAGCATGCTTGTATGATGAAACTATGTTATAATGCATAGCCACGAGATAATCGGATTTGAATTTATATGGTGTGCAACATATCAATCAGAGAGTCGTCATGTTATTGACAGGGTTAATAACAGGTACACGATATTTAATTATGAAGTATGTCGATGCCTGTCACATAATGAATGCTACGAATTAATTTTAGATGATGGGTGCTCGAATACATCAGAAGAAATTCACGGAAATGCTCCGCTATTTTAAACTGCAGTTGCTGTTTTATCTATCGGTTCTGGATTCCAGTTTTTAGCCCGTCTCTCAAAGTTTTGATATATTCATCGATCTCCTCTTAGCGCGTCCAAATTCAGCTTTTCATACTCGCTGCTTTCTTTTTATCTTCAGTTGTCGTTAGCTTGACAGACATATCATACCACTTATTTATGTTCGCCCACACTTCAGGTATGACCTTCCCCGTTGAAAGTTTAGGAACCTTTAAATAAAGTTGGGCCATTAAACGACCAATTCGTTGCGAAATTTCCTGATTGCGTATATCTTCGTTTTTGAGGGTGGTGGACGGCAGAAATTGTTCTATTCTCCCATTCTGGAACAAAGCGAGGACGGAAGGTCCGATATTGAACGAACCCAGTATTTCGAGGAAAACAAGTTCGCTTCGCTTTCTCGGTCAACAAACTCGTCAACTCCAATCCCGTGCACTCTTAGTAAAATTTTTCGAGGAAATACTTTCGATGTCTCCGTCATAGTCAGAGCGGTGACAAATTTGTCAGAGCACCTGAAACTCGCTCTATTTCAATATCCGTGACATACTTGACATCAGACCAACCGGGCAGAGCACTCCGTAGCAGAAAAAGAATATCTTTGTCATGATCTTG